GTTACACACAGTTTACGCCATGTTGAACATTTCTCCACCACTGAGCAACAGCCACTGACTGACATCAAAAGACACTGGGTCTATGTTTGACAACTCTCTCCTGCCAGCTGTAGTAGCTCTGTCATTTCTGCACTAAGAAAACCAAAGGCAGATTCTAGCCTGACTTGAGTTATGTCGTCTCTGGTAAGTCTGGAACACTCAGCCAGGAGCTGGATGATCCATAGGTGTGCTTAGAATAAAGAAAAGATTTCTCAGACTGTCAGTATTACTCAGTGTTAAAATATTTACCTTAAAAGCCTGACAACCTGAGTTTGCTTCTGGGAACCAACAGTTGGAGTTAAGAATAGACTCTACAGTGATTCTTTCGTTTTCATACCCATCTCATGTCACATATCAACACATAAACACACATTACTAACAATATTTTAAAAATAATATAATAGGGGGCTGGAGAGATGGCTCAGCGGTTAAGAGCATTGCCTGCTCTTCCAAAGGTCCTGAGTTCAATTCCCAGCAACCACATGGTGGCTCACAACCATCTATAATGAGGTCTGGTGCCCTCTTCTGGCCTGCAGGGATACAGACAGAACATTGTATACATAATAAATAAATAAATATTAAAAAAAAATAATATAATAATAGTAAATTTATCCTGGGATGGACTTGGGAGTCAGAGGCAGGAAGACCTCTTTGAATTTGAGGCATACATGGCCTACACAGTGAGTTCCAGCAAGGGGAACATAGAAAGATCACTTTTAAAAATTAATAAATAAATAAAAATAGGTTTTAAAAAATGGATCTCGTCCCCAGGAAAACATAATGTTGGGACAGACTTCTTGTGGGGAGATGAAATTTATACTTTCTTTTTTGTTTCTTCCATAGTGTACAACGTTTAGGAATTGTTTCTTGCAATCAGAGCACATGCCGGTACACTGGAGAGAAATGGTACCAGTGTGTGTACTGTACAAAGATAGGTGAGATCTCCTTTAGTGCCAGCCCTCTGTAACTGAAAGCATGATGCCTGAAATAATTCATCTTGGGTAAATAGTTACTTACCAAGTGAATTATGGGCCAAGTAGGACTACATAGTGATATTGTGTCTCAAAAATAAAAGTAAAATAATTTTAAAAGAATTCTTAAGAGATGCTTTAGCCAAGGTCTAGTCTTCGCCTTTGAAGATTTCCTGACTCTGTAATCTTGAAGAAATCCATTAACTTTCCTTTTTAGTTTCCTCCTTGTAAAATGTGGGGAAATTGTATTTTGGGGAGTTCTATCAGTCAGTCTATATAAAATGTGTATCACAATGCCTGATGAATTGTAACCAGTGAAGTATTGGCTGCTAATCATTCTAGAGGGATGTAAAAAAGGTGGCACCTGATCTATGCTCCACAGAACACTGAACATCAGAAGCATATAGTGTAATATTTTAATTGTGTTCTGACAAATAGTTTGCTTGGAGTAAGAGGAAAGAGATAGCTACCAGCTAACCATTGAGGTTTGGAGGACTGTAGACAGAAGAAACAGAAAGTTGATATGGGAGTCCTCTCTGTGTGTTGTGATTACCATTAATGAATAAAGAAACTGCCTTGGCCTGTTGATAGGGCAGAACTTAGGTAGGTGGGGAAAATTGGACTGAATGCTGGGAGGAAGGAGGCAGAGTCAGGGAGCTGCCATGGAGCTGTCAGAGTCAGGCATGCCAAATCTTTGCCAGTAAGCCACTGCCACATGGCAATATACAGATTACTAGAAATGGATTAAATTAGTATAAGAGTTAGCGAATTAGAAGCTAGAGCTAATGGACTAAGCAGTGTTTTAATTAATATAGTTTCTGTGGAGTTATTTTGGTTCTGGGTGGCCAGGATGAACAAGCAGCTCCTCCTTCTGCAGAAAGTGGTAAGGCAGGGCTGAGAGAAGATCTTGGTCCTTTGGGGGAGAGGAACTGAAGATTTAGGATGGCACTAATGCCTGCTCCAGGTTCTCTGACCTTTCAGGTTCTTGCCCCAATATTTGACTCCTGATTTTTTTATTAATAAAGATTCATTAGATTAACGTTGCACCTGGCATCTAGCTCAGGGCACGAATTCAACAGATAGCTGCTTGCCCATGACTTTGCAGCTGCTCGAACCTGCTGGAGGTGCACACAGGAACAGCAGTCACTGGGTCGCTGGCTGACTTTCCTTTCCCCCCCCCAAGCCCTCTGAGTGAGCCTTGGATTTTGCTCTTGCAGCCTCTCTATAGCAATCTACACTAGCTTCAAACCCCACAGGTGCCTGGGTTCCAAATGCTGCTGGAATTAACCCCTTACCCCTGGCCAACTCTGACTTTAGGCAGATCCGTGTTTTTAATTCCTCCACCACCACACATGCTTATTCTGCACAATCCCCTGTATTCACTTTTCACACAGTCCACTCCCTCTCCCTGTGGGTTGTGGGATTCCACTGGACCCTTCCTCAGGCTATTGACACCCAGACAGCTGTCCTCAAACAGGCTGTGCACTGCCTGTGTTCTCCAGCCAGAAGTGCTATGCAGTGACAACCAGCCTTATACTTTACTGTCATCATCAGATCTGGTGGGACAACTTGGAATTCTTAAAAGGGGGAATTAGTTAATGAAAAGCATTTTTTCTCATATTAAAAAATTGGTAACACTATTATGATGGAGGGTGTTAGGTCTCTGTATGATTCAACAATGGATGGTTTAAAAATGGAAGAATTAAATGAGGGGATAATTAACTTACATGGGATTTACATAATGTCAATTATAAACTATTGGTTTGGCAATTCTTCCTTTATACCCAAAAAAGTTGGTTAATGTGAGTGCTAAGATACGGGCCTCAGAAAAGTTTACTAAAGAAAATAATGTGATTTTCACTGATAAGTAACAAGCCTTAGAAAAACTTTCTAAAACAGATAAAAGATATGGAATTTTAAGGGAAAATCAACCTCACCATTATATTATAAAATTATAGAAGAACAGCCCAAGGTTATCAAAAAACAACCTTAATTTATCCTGTCACCCCACAGGGCCAAATGACAGGCATCCCAAAGGCTGTGGAAAAGCTAAATGTAACTAGTTCTACACACTTCAGTTCTTTATAAATGCCTGAAATGTTACCCTTTAAAGTGCCCACTGTTTAAGTCTCAGGTTCTCCTGACAAGTTGCATGTCATCTAGAGTCACACAATTTAGGGCTCCTAACTGAAGGTTTTGCAGGCATAAAGGAAGCAGCTACGATCCACTTCAGATAAGTCAGTCTTCATGCCTTCAAGTTCTTTTTCTCTGCATACAGGAGATATAAACTCCAGGAAGGAGCACACCTGACTTGGGTCCTTATAGAGTCCCATTTTTGCCTATTTACCACATTTAAGATAATCTCAATTTTTGGATTTGATCAAGTAGTCAGTCACTTTTAAAAGACTTGTATTGCCAGTTACAATCCTGAGCATTTTTGTACTCCTACCTCATTTTGGTGGGGATTGAGGCTTGGGATCTTATTTAAGCAAGATGTCTAAGTCAGTTAATGATGCTATCAACTTTCTATTTCTTCTGGATCATCATGACTAAGGTAAAAACCAACACAGGATCATCCATTCATATCATACTGGTGTAATGTAATGTTCATGTGGCTGAACAGATGGACCAACATCTATGAGCATTGGCTGATCATTCCCAGCACCCAAGAAACAGCTCACAACTGTGTAATTACAGGCATGGGGGAAAAGATACTCTCTTGCAGCCTTCACTGGTACTTGACATGCAATTGATGGCAAAATGTAAACACTTAAATTTTATTCTTTTTGAAAATAACATATACATGAAGACATTTTAAAAAAAATCTGGAATCACATATATATCTGCCACTTCACCATTTGCATATCTGGTGCCCTAACAGGGCAGAAGAATGCATCAGATCTCCTGGATCTGGAAATACAAGTAGTTCTGAGTCATCTGATATAGTACTAGGAATCATACTTGGGTACATAAGAGGAACAGTACTATTAAGCAAATTATCCAGATGCCAAATATGTCATTATAATACTAAAAATGAAAATGCCCCATTACTCTTTCTGTCTCCTATCACCTTAAGGTGATGAAAGTCCCCACTAGATGGTTGTCAAAGGATTCAATGGCTTTCTATACTTCTGTGAATAGACTCTCCACATTGCTTCATATTTTGTTTGTTAACACAATTCTATTTATGTGAGCAAAGACAACAAAAGGTTTGGTTGAAACCATTCAGAGTCCAGTCAGATTATTCTAGGATAAGTTCCATAATTTGGGATCTTCTTTTTGACTTTTTTGGAGATATTTTTATATATGCATGGATGTCCACTCTCTCCCAACTGCTAGAATTACAGGCATTCAACTCTAAGTCCAGCTGAGATTTATTTTTAAAATAATCTATCTTTGAATAAGAGTTAAAAGGGGACCATCAATATTTTAATAGAAAAAAACTTCTTAAAATTCTATACTAATAGTTTAAACAGGAATTTCATTTTTATGTTCTCAATAATTGGGCTTTTTGTCTGTTAATTTAATCCATTTAAAAATGTTTGAATTTTGCGTGCGTGTATATATCTTTGCATGATGTGTATATGGCATTGAGAGTACAACTTATAGGTTTCTATTATCTTCTTATCCTACGTGAGTTCTAGAGATGAAAACCAGGGAACCCGTTGGCTGCAAGTGACCTCAATGGTACTTCTTTGGGTTTTAAGATTATTTATGTATGTGCTGGTGTGTGAGGGTGCAAATGCCACAAGTATAGAAATAAGAGGAAAAAATATGTAGGAATAATATGGGTTTCTTAGAGATTGAACTCAGGGCCTCAGGTTCCGCAGCAACAACCTTTACTCATAGAAACTCCTCTCTGGCTTTCACTTGTGGTTTTGAAAAAGGGCTATGGACATGTGTTTGGCCCTCAAAATAAACTAACACTTTCTAAACACAAAAAGCACAAATAAAACAAAAGATAGAAGTATATCATTTTCATTTGCTAGTAGGATTTATTATGCAGTTTTCCCTGTTTTCCATTACCTTTCAAATAAAATGTTTACAATCTGAAAAGACAATACTTTCCTGATGTAATATTTCCACTAATCTCATTTGAGCATCAATGAGACAACTTTGTTTGAAATGTTTATATTGTACAAGGCTGTGACCTCATCTTGATCACTGTATGAAGATAGACAAAAGCAGACTCTTCAAAGTTCTTGTTTCTACATATCTGTAATGGCCTAAAACCCCATAGTCATATTAAAACACACACACACCAGAAATTTTGTCTTAAAATAAAATCTCATTGCAATTACATTATCTGGCATCTCTGAATAATTTATTTAAAAGGAATAAGATGATTTGTCATATGGATAACTGATGAAGATGTAAAGATAAATAAAACTTCAAATTATCTTTGCATATCCATAACACATTAAATTATATTGTGAAATACACAGTTGATTGGTGACTATCTGACCTTATTACATCTCTTCCCTATAGACAAAAATGTGTCTTTGGATACACACATGGGGTATTTAATTTTTTAAAATATTCTCTATTAAGTATTTTAACATTAACATGGTTAAAACATTTTGACAAAACAGCAAACGTTGGGCATACATCATCTCCCCTTGGACTTGTACTTAGGAGACTGACACATGAAGATCATGAGTTCAAATGTATCCCTGGGTAATTACTGACATCCAAGCCAGACTGCATAACAAACAACATTCCAAGAGAATCTGTGAAAAAAATGTGAAAAATAATACCAGGAACAAAAATGCAACACCCTTTCACAGACACCCTTACTTGAAAAGTATGATCACACACTGCCTGATATTTAAACAAAAATGGATCACTTAGATGATGGCCATCTCATTCTATACATTGCAGCAGAAAATTTCTCTCACTGTGAAAGCACAATAGAAGATTAACAAAAGCCACAGATAAGGGCCACAAAATAAACTTCACTAAATGGATTTGCCACACATACAGTACACTTTAATATCTACTTCAAATGTTGCAAAACAGAAGTCACGTGACACAATAGTCTTTAATAAACTTAGTTAATAATTTATTTACTTCAAGGTTACAATGAAAAAGACATAAGACAAGTTTTGTTTTCTTGAAACTGAAGACAATTGTGATGTCTAAAGTTTTTACCAAATCATTTACATGAATAGAGCTTTTCTATTGTATGAGTTCCTCCCTATTTAAGGATATCAATGTGAAAAAGAAAAACTTTAAGATATTTACAGGGCTAGACACATGGATGAGGCTTTAATACAAGTCCATTCCCAGCACCAAGGTTAGGTTTTTGACAACTTCCAGTAATTCCTGCTACAAGAAGCCCTAAAGGTCTAACTTTCTTGGGACCCAGAATGCAATACCATACAAAGACACACTGCCATAGTAAAATTAAAATGAAAACAAATCTTTAAATTGTTTCACTTACGAATGTTTTCTCTTGTAATTCCTGTAACATATAGGTGCTGAGATACCTAAAGGCTCACAGAGTATTTCTCCATCATGAATTGGTTCATGTAACGGAAAGCAAGCATGTAGGCCTGAAGTCAGAGAAATCAATCATTCTCAGTCTGTGTATTATAGGGAAGATTTAGGCAATGCTGCTTTATCACTGGGCATTGACCTAAGAGTTTATATCTACACATCATATTCAGGTTATACTTTCTGCTTCATGCTGCAGATTAAGGGTGTGAATTCTTACTTTCCCACCTCAGCTGTCATGTCTGACCCTTGTTTCCATGCCAGCTGCACAGCAATACTGTATCACTCTTGAACTAAGGCCAAACTAAAACTCTATAAGTTCACTTAGACACGAAGTTTTATCACAGCAACAGAAAAGGCACTAATACACATCCATTAAGTTTTATACCTGGATTCATTATCTCATGTAATTAAAGAGAAATACAAAATCTAAAAGGGTTATCTTATTATTTAAATTCATAGGCCTTTTGTCCATGTGAGTCTTCATGTGTAAACAAATAAAGAGGAATATCATAATGCTTGAACATATTGTTTATATTGTCAGTTTTTTCCTCTAGAATAATCTTGTGTAACTGAATGTAAATGTATTGGCTAAAGATCTTACCAAATCACTTATATTCAGAGTACCTTCAGTATGAGTTTTGTCAGAATCCTAAAGTCTAATTTTATGTTCAGGGGCTTTAACAGACAAATTACACACTAAAGTTTTATTCTTGTATAAAGACTACCATGACTTGCAAAACTTTGCAACATTGATTATATTTAAGTGGTTTCTCTGCAGCATGATTTTTTTCTTATGTTTTCAAAGGTTTCTGATACAAAGGCTTTATCACATTGATTACATATGTTGGATTTATCTCCAGTATGTGTTCTTTTATGTATTTTAAGACTACTGTGTTGTGAAAAAGCTTTACCACATTGACTACATTCATAGGGTTTCTCTCTAGTATGTATTCTTTTATGTATTTGGAGACTACTTTGACAAGTGAAGGCTTTACCACATTGATTACATTCATAGGGTTTCTCTCCAGTATGTGTTCTTTTATGTATTTGGAGATTACTTTGAGACGCAAAGGCTTTACCACATTGATTACATTCATAGGGCTTTTCTCCAGTATGTGTTCTTCTATGCCTTTGAAGATGATTGTGTTGTGCAAAGGCTTTACCACACTGATTACATTCATAGGGTTTCTCTCCAGTATGTGTTCTTTTATGCATTTGAAGATGACTATGACATGCAAATGCTTTACCACACTGATTACATTCATAGGGTTTCTCTCCAGTATGTGTTCTTTCATGATTTTGAAGTTGACTGTGACATGTAAAGCCTTTACCACATTGATTACATTCATAAGGTTTCTCTCCAGTATGTGTTCTTTCATGAATATGAAGATAACTGGGAGATGTAAAGCCTTTACCACACTGATTACATTCATAGGGTTTCACTCCAGTATGTGTTCTTTTATGGATTTGAAGATAACTATGACATGCAAATGCTTTACCACATTGATTACATTCATATGGTTTCTCTCCTGTATGTATTCTTTTATGGATTCGGAGACGGCTTTGACATATAAAGGCTTTACCACATTCATTACATTCATAGGGTTTGTCTCCAGTATGTGTTCTTTTATGTACTTGGAGATTACTTGGATGTGCAAAGGTTTTACCACATTGAGTACATTCATAGGGTTTCTCTCCAGTATGTATTCTTTTATGTATTTGGAGACAACTTTGACGTGCAAAGGTTTTACCACACTGGTTGCATTCATAAGGTTTCTCTCCAGTATGTGTTTTTTTATGTATTTGAAGATGACTGTGACATGCAAATCCTTTAATGCACTGATTACATTCACAGGATTTCTCTCCAGTATGTGTTCTTTTATGTATTTGGAGACGACTATGACATGCAAAGGCTTCATCATATTGAATATCTTCATAGGGTTTCTCTCCAGTATGAATTCTTTTATGACTTTGAAGATGACTTTGATAGGCAAAGGCTTCAACATATTGAGTATATTCAGAGGGTTTCTCTCCCTTATGACTTCTTTCATGCCTGCAAGGTTAATTGACATATGTAAAAGTTTTACCACATTCATAACACTGTTGAATCTTTATATCTGAATGAATTAATTTTACAATTTGGTCTAACTGTATAGAGTAATCAGAAATTAATCTTTTATCACTTTGTTTACACTCATTTTGTTCTCCTTCATTAAGGGTTGTTTTGTGTATTTGAAGAAACCTGTGGTGGTAGGAGCCTGGCTCCTGTGGTATAACTGGCTCACATTTATGGCATCTACTTTCTCCATGAGATTTTTCACTTATTTGAAGAGAACTGGAAGAATTCAGATCTTTATTCTACTACTTACATTGATAAATTTTCCTATACTGTGAGTCATATTAAATTTGTAAAGTGAACCAGGACAAAGAAAATTATTCACATTCCCAATATTCATAGGGCTTTTTTGCAATGAGTTCATTGATGTATTCTCAATGAAGCTAGAAAACTAATTACTTGTAATCTTGACTCACAATCAATGAATCTACTCAACCTGGGGACTACTACATATCTTCTAATTGTTCTGAGGTGGGGAGAGGTACATTGTTTCTTTCCATATCCCTATGCTCATATGGCTTGTATCCAGAGTAACATAATATACCTATTAAAGGAAGAATAACAAATAAATGTTTCCACATTGCATTCACAGAGTTTGACTTTCTATTCCTCAAAGACATATGGTATAGGAATTAAGGTTTTTCCATAACAAACCACTTTAACTCTTGACTCTAACTACACATCTCACTAAACTTTTCAAAGATAGAACAACTATATGAGTCGCACTAGGTTTACTGCAGTCTATTTGCTTACTGGGTTTTGGACATACACTTATCACTATTCAGTGTGTATGTTTTTGTAAAATAAGAGGTATGAAACTAAATGGATTGGCAGTTCTACAGCATAGATCTGAGGGAGCTATGATTAAAATGGTGACATCTGTAAAGGCATTGATTCCTTGTCTTCCTTCTTAGAAGAATGACTCGCAAACACAATTCACTTACCTGCCATTGAGGAATAGTGTTTTGTGAGAATTTAATTATCATAAATGCCCTGTGAGCTGTGCTTATGAACACTGTTGCTTTAAAAAAAAAAAAACTTCCAGATACATTAAATTATCTTCAGAGGCACATTTGTATCAGCTTGCATATAAAAATTTACCTTCCATGTCTTCGAGAACTTTGACAATGTTCTTCAATATTGTGATCTTCCCATTTGTAGCCTAAAATATAGCACCAGGAAATGTATGATATATTATTGGAAACTGTGAAAAATTCAAGTTGCTATCTTCAGTGATTCTTAGATCCATGCCTGATTTATTCACCTCATTCTCCTCATTCTCAATCAAAATTACAGAAAGGCAGTGATAAGTAAGAAATAGTTTTCCTGTTATTTTAAAACATGAAGGAAAATAAACAGTATTACCTACAGCAGTGAGGTTGATATAGGTCTCCAGCATCACATCTTTGTATAGATTCTTCTGGGAAGGATCCAGCAAAGCCCACTCTTCCCAGGTGAAGTCAACGTGCACATCATTATAGGTCACTGCATCCTAAAATATGCCATACATTATATAACAAAAAGCATGATACTGACAACATTGTAAATGTAAACTTTTTTGACAATATAATCTTATAATTCTGGTGCTTCCTGCACTTACTCTATGACACAGGAATTTTAATAAAATTAAGTCACTTTAGAAGGAAACTGAATAGGAGGTTTACCCCTATCATTTCTGAACATTTTAAATGAATAGCATGATACAAGAGAAATGCCTATTAACAGACAAAGAGAGACAAGCAAACATAAACAGTATTGAGTACACATCACAGAAACTGTATGAACAAATACTAACTATAAAAAAATATACACCAAGCTGGGTGTATTGGCTCATGCCATTAATTCCAGTACTCAGAAGGCACAGGCAGGTATATCTGCCTCTGAGATGAATGTTAGTCTAGTCTCTGCAATCAGTTCCAGAACAGCAAGAATATTAAGAGCTTGTCTCCCCTGGAAAAAAAAGCATCAATCAAACAAAAAATAGGAAGAACTTAGAGGGTTTTGTTTTGTTTTTTACTTAAGTTCCTACAAGGAGTTATGCATTTATTCCAGTTCTGTATTCATCTTCCAGAAATCTGAAGTGCTTCAGTTCAAACTGTAACTTTAATAAATCTTATTAAAAGGAATTGTGCATTTAAACTGTTACAGATAGACAGATGAAAACATTAACAAAGTAAATGTTGATCATAAATAACACAGGGTAGGAGAGATGGTTCAGAAGTTAAGAGCTCTTGCTAGTCCTGCATATAGGTGTACTCAATTGACACTACATATGTGAGTGATCAAATTATCCATTATTCCAAGCTCAGGGGTTCTAAGACTACCCTTTGACTATTGCGAGGACATGCATATGTTGTACATATCCATGTATGCAGGCAAAAAAAATTCATTTAAAAAAATAAAACAAATAGGAAGAATGTCACACACCTGTAATTCAGTTACTCAGAGCCCCGGGCAATATTAATGTCATGAATACTGACATCCTGGGAAAGAAAATGATACCCTCTGCCAAATTTCAAAATTCCAGTTGGGGTTGCAGTTCAGTAAACCAGTGTATGTTTGACGTGAACAAAAATCTATACTCTAGACCTACCATACAATTATATAAACATATATAATTATATTTTAAAAACTTAGGAATGTTGTCCCACCTTTAATACCAGATTTGGAAACAAGAGTCAGGTGAATTTCTGTGTTCAAGGACAGTCTGGTCTACAGAGCAACTTTCAGGACAGTAAGGGCTACTCAGACAAACTGTCTTCAGAAAAAAAATAAAAACAACAAAATTAAAATAAAATCAGGGTAACAAAATAGCTTCTCATTGACTATCAATCACTTTAGTTGTATCTTATGTGATCTATTGATATCATCTGTAATGGTAGTAAAGTCATGGCAGCACAAGAAGGAAGCTGGCTGACTAGTTTCATTCATAACATAGTAGAAACAAAGAACAGGAAATGGGTTGAGACTATAGATATTCAAATCACATCCCCAATGAGAAATGTCCTCCAGAAAGGTTCCTCCAACTAATGTTTCCACAGGCATCACAAAGGAAGCCACCAAGGAGAAATGAATGTTCAAATACATCATTCTATCTGAGAGTTTTTCATTCACTTGACTAGATTCTGACTCAGGTCACTACAGACTCATGGTTATCTAGGAAGAAAATGCATTTAGTCACCTCAATGATCTTCATAGTCTGCAACAGCCCCTACACTCTTCAAATGTCCATAATCTTTTCTGAAACTCAAGACAATCTCTTGACTGTATTATAAAACAAGTTAAATAAATCTGTCCAACATACAATGGCACAGACTGCTCTTTCCCATTGCAAAGGAGAGTAATTGAGACATACCGAGGGAAGATTGGACCAATGCAAGACTGAAACACAGCAGGGCAACCAGATATCTGGGGCTTCTGCTGTGGAATAATCCTCTTATACATGGTAAAGATTTGTCACTCAACTGGTTTGTCCAGTAGCTAGGCAGAAAGTATAGGCAAGGCAGCCAAACTAAGGATGATGGGAAGAAGAAGGGCTGAAGAAGGATGGCTTAAAAGAAATCCCACATTAGCTCAGAATTGAGAATAATAGATGGTTATTTATTTAGGGGTAGGCTTACAAATCAAAATCCTCTGCTGAAACAGAACAGAAACTGAACCCCACAGCCAGAAAAGAGAGCGGACACATGCTTTACATCAGCTGAGAGTTACTATCTAAACTGGACCAGCAGGATACAAGAAAGGTAACTACTGATTTTGACAAGACAAGGTACTACAGTCCTTCAAAATTCCCTGCTTCACAGGAAAGTCTGTCAGACAAGCTAGGGTTGTAGGCCAGAGCTGGATGTCCAACATTGCAAAGGAACTTTGGGTGACTGTTCAGGTAGCTTGAGGTTCTTGTCATTAGGTATTATTTACCTTTTTGGGGCCATTGATGGAGTTGAAGACTAAATAGTTATAATCTTTCTTAGTCACAATAGAAAGTAAATTAGATACAAACTTTAGACTCACTAAGAAAGACAATTAAGTACTTTCTCTAATTTTGCCAAATGCAAATAGATTAGATAGTGTTACTATAATTCTTACTTAATAATTACTTTTGTTGTATATAATTTTACAATTTTAAAGTTAAAACCTTCCTTTTAATTAGACAAAAAAGGGGGAAATGCTGTGAAATAATCTTCTTATATATTGTAAAGATTTGTCATTCAAACTGGTTTAATAAAACACTGATTATCCACTGGCTGGGCAAGAAGTATAGGTGAGATGACCAAACTAAGTATGATGGGATGTTGACAGAGGCTTTCTTACTACCTAGTCCTGCAGCCATTAAGTCCCAAAGAAACACACAGAGGTCTATATTAATTATAAAACTGATTGGCCCATTAGCTCAGGCTTCTTATTAACTCTTATAACTTATATTAGCCCATTATTCTTGTCTGTGTTAGCCATGTGGCTCGGTACCTTTTTTGGTGAGGCATTCACATCTTGCTTCCTCTATGGCTGGGTCACGACTGCAGACTACAACTTACCTCTTCCCAGAATTCTTGTTGCTCCGCCTCTACTTCCTGCCTGGTTATCCCACCTCTACTTTCTGCCTGGCTACTAGACAATCAGTGTTTTATTAAAAATAATACAAGTGACAGGATAAAAGGCCATTGTCCCACAGAACTTATGCCCCTTTAAAAAAACAAGAACTCTGAATCTAATATTCTTTCTTTAGCTTTTTTCTGACCATTATTTATAACAACTTGTAACCAACATTCTAAACAGAAGAAAATATCTATAGTTCATTTTTGGGGAATGTGAGCATAGTTTTTCAGGCTACTTTCTGCTGACTGGGGGCACTGATAATCTTATGGGGACCTAAAGAAAATTTAAAACTGTTTCTCCACAAAAAGTCTCCAAACCAACAAACTCAAGGAATTCATAACATTATATAGTAAATTTTCATAAAATAAAAACTAGTGAAGGTTCATCATTTTCCAGAGAAACAATATAACCAGATTATAACTTAAAAAAAATCATACAATGTAGATAGTACCACTAATAAAAGGAGACACAAAGACAGACCTACAAATTTAACAGGGTCCTTTGAACAAGGATTAGGAGATTCTAACCAAAATTAGAATCAAAGAAATCATAGACCACCATTCACCCTGTGCACTCCAGTTCCTCCAGTTCTCTCCTTTGCCATTAATAGAAAATGGGTGGGGTAGAGATGATTGTTCCACCAAAATTAGATTTGCTTGAAGCCTTCTGATGTTTCTACATTGCAGAAAATAATTTTGACTACTAAAACTATCTCATTCTCTTTTGATAAAGAAAATGATGTCCACTAGGATCATTTATTAAACATTTTGTTTCCTATGATTGATGATTAAATGTAAGTCTGTATTATATACCTAAAGCAACCCATTTGCCTCTAATTGCTTTATAAGTCTTAAAGACTTTTGGAAACAAGTCTATCTCCATTTTTATGTGCATGTTTGTATATGTGTGAGAGAATGTTTTCCATGTATGTACAGGTGACACACCAAAGAGTGTGTCAGATCCCCTGGATCTCGAATAGCAAGTAGTTATGAGCCTCCCAATGTAGCATGAATAATTAAAACCAAAAGACAGAAATTGGGGCTCAACCTGAGAACCAGATAAGCAAAGCAGCCAAGCCACTAAAGAAGTCTTACCTCTACCAAGGCTAGGTGACTACAGACTAAGCAAAGTAAGCAGCAAGAGCCTCTATTCCCTCCCATTTTAAATTCTCTTTAGTGCTGAGATTAATGGTGTATGACTCCCTACTACTAGGATTAAAGGTGTTAGGCACCACCACCTGGATTTGTTTGTATATTGATCTTGTGTAGCCCTGGGTGGCCCTGAATGTACCATCTTCCTCCAACTCCCAAATCCTGAATTAAAGGTGTGTGCCACCACTGCCTGACTTCTAGTGACCTAGTTTTTCCCTTCTGATATTCAGCCAAACTTTATTTATTAAAACATAATATTTATTATATCCAAACTTGGGTGTTGGTATCTGAACAAAAGTCAAGAAGAATACTTGTTGAGTGACATGGGCTGCCCACATACCGTAACTTTTTATCCAACAAACTAAAAGTCTTTCACAGATTAACAACAGAAACCTAAATAAAGAAAGAAGCAAATAAGTGATCCCTGTGAACTTGATGCATCATTATTAAGATGTTGGGACCAGGTAGGCTGCTCATGGACCTGTCCCACTCACTGTTACTCAAGACCCAATATTCAGGGTTGCCTCTATGGCTGCAAGAGAACTCCAGCTGCAGCTTATCTCCCCCCCCCTCCATGTCTCCTGATGATTCCAGAACCATCTCCACCTGCCCTTCCCTTCACAGCTCATATCTGTATCCCAGCACCTAACTGCTTGTCACATCTGCCAGAAGACCAATTTAAGCTGCCCACAGATATAGCGAATTATCTCTTACCCCAGATCTGATTTTCACAGTTGCCCCTATTACT